GTTAAAAGGGTTCATGAAATATCTTTAGCAAACAGGGTTAAGGAAAATCCCAAAGTCTTTTATTCATACATAAGGAGCAAGAGGGTAACTAGAGAAAGGGTTGGCCCACTCAAGGACAAAGGAGGGAAGTTATGCAAGGATTCAGGGAAAATGAGTGAGATTCTTCATGAGTACTTTGCGTCGGTATTCACTGAGGAGAGGGACATGATGGATTTTGAGGTTAGGGATAGATGTTTGATTACTCTAGCATAAGGAGGGGGGAAGTGTTGGGTATTCGAAAAGGCATTAGGGTGGACAAGTCCCCAGGTCCGGATGGGATCTATCCCAGGTTACTGAGGGAAGCGAGAGAGGAAATAGCTGGGGCCTTAACAGATATCTTTGCAGCATCCTTGAGCACGGGTGAGGTTCTGGAGAACTGGACAATTGTTAATGTTGTCCACTTGTTTAAGAAGGGTAGCAAGGATAATCCAGGTAATTATAGACTGGTGAGCCTGTTGTCAGTGGTGGGGAAGCTGCTGGAGAAGATACTGAGGGATAGGATCTATTTACATTTGGAAGAAAATGGGCTTATTAGTGATAGGCAGCATGGTTTTGTGCAGGGAAGGTCATGTCTTACCAATTTGATAGAATTCTTTGAGGAAGTAACAAAGTTGATAAATGAGGGAAAGGCTGTAGATGTCATACACATGGACTTCAGTAAGGCGTTTGATAAGGTTCCCCATGGTAGGCTGATGGAGAAAGTGAAGTCGCATGGGGTCCAGGGTGTACTAGCTAGATGGATAGAGAACTGGCTGGGCAACAGGAGACAGCGAGTTGTAGTGGAAGGGAGTTTCTCGAAATGGAGAACTGTGAACAGTGGTGTTACACAGGGATCTGTGTTGGGACCACTGTTGTTTATGATATACATAAATGATCTGGAGGAAGGTATAGATGGTCTGATTAGCAAGTTTGCAGATGACACTAAGATTGGTGGAGTAGCAGTCAGTGAAGGGGATTGTCGGAGCATGCAGCAGAATATAGATAGATTGGAGAGTTGGGCGGAGAAATGGCAGATGGAGTTCAATCCAGGCAAATGCGAGGTGATGCATTTTGGAAGATCCAATTCAAGAGCGAACTATACAGTAAATGGAAAAGCCCTGGGGAAAATTGATGCACAGAGAGATCTGGGTGCTCAGGTGCATTGTACCCTGAAGATGGCAACACAGATCGATAGAGTGGTCAAGAAGGCATACGGCATGCTTTCATTCATCGGACGGGGTATTGAGTACAAGAGTTGGCAGGTCATGTTACAGTTGTATAGGACTTTGGTTGGACCACATTTGGAATACTGCGTACAGTTCTGGTCGCCACATTACCAAAACGACGTGGATGCTTTGGAGAGAGTGCAGAGGAGGTTCACCAGGATGTTGCCTGGTATGGAGGGCGCTAGCTATGAAGAGAGGTTGAGTAGATTAGGATTATTTACATTAGAAAGACGGATGTTGAGGGGGGACCTGATTGAGGTCTACAAAACCATGAGAGGTATAGACGGGGTGGATAGCAAGAACCTTTTTCCCAGAGTGGGGGACTCAATTACTAGGGGTCACGATTTCAAGGTGAGAAGGGAAAAGTTTAAGGGAGATATGCGTGGAAAGTTCTTTACGCAGAGGGTGGTGGATGCCTGGAACGCGTTGCCAGCGGAGGTGTTAGAGGCGGGCACGATAGCATCATTTAAGATGTATCTAGACAGATACATGAATGGGCAGGGAGCAGAGGGATACAGATCCTTGGAAAATAGGCGACAGGTTTAGATAGAGGATCTGGATCAGCACACGCTTGGAGGGCCAAAGAGCCTGTTCCTGTGCTGTAATTTTCTTTGTTCTTTGTTCTTAAAGTTTCAGGTCCGGTGACCCTTCCTCAGACCAGATGGTAGCCAGGAAAATATCTGTTTATATGCAGAAGATAGGGTGGAGGAGGGGTTAAGGAGTAAACGATAGATGGGGATAGAGCCCAAAGAGAGAGAAGAACAGTCGGACAGACAAGGAGTGGATAACGATCTGGCTGGGAGGGTGAATAGCTGCTAATAGATGGGCCCAAGCTATGCCTGCCTCTTCGTAGGATATGTGGAACAGTCCAGCTTCCGCTGCTACACTGGCACTATCTCCCACCTCTTCCTCTGCTACATTGCTGACTGTATCAGCACTGCCTCATGCTCCCATGAGGAGCTTGAACAGTTCAACAACTTTACTAACACCTTTCATCCCAACCTCAAGTTCACCTGGACCATCTCCAATACCTCCCTCTCCCTCCTAGACCTTTCTGTTTCCATCTCTTGTAAATGCCTCGAAACTGACATCTATTTCAAGGCCACCGACTCCCACAGATTCCTAGACTACACCTCCTCTCACCCACCTTACTGCAAGAATGCGATCCACTACTCCCAACTCCTCCGCCTCCGCCACATCTGCTCCCAAGTTGGAGTGTTCCACTACCGGACATCCGAGATGTCCTCATATTTCAAGGACTGCATCTTCCCCCCTCTGATGATAAAAATGCCCTCAACATCTCTTGCATTTCCTGCACTTCTGCCCTCAAACTCCCTCCCCCAACAAAAATAAAGACAGAATACCCCTTGTCCTCACATATCACCCCACCAACCTCCACATCCAATGTATCATTCTCCAGCACATCCACCACCTACAATCTGACCCTACAACCAAAGATGTATTTCCCTCCCCATCCCTATCTGCCTTTCATAGGGACGGTTCACTCCATGATTCCCTCATCTGCTCCACACTCCCCACTAGCCCCACCACCCCGGCACCTTTCCCTGCAACCGCAGGAAGTGTTAATCCTGCCTCGATACTTCCCCCCTCACTTCCATTCAAGGCCCAAAGCAAACTTTCATATCAAACAGAGGTTCATCTGTACATCTGCCAACATGGTCTACTGTATCTGCTGCTCTCGATGTGGCCTCCTCTACATCGGTGAGACCAAGTGTAGACTTGGAGACCATTTTGTAGAGCATCTGTGCTCTGTACACGACAAATGACAACACCTTCTGGACGCCAACCATTTTAACTCCACCTCCCATTCCCTGGGTGTCATGTCCATCCTGGTCCTCCTCCAGTGACACAATGACACCACATGCAAACTGGAGGAGCAACATCTTATATTCTGCCTCTGGAACCTATAGCTCAATGGCCTAAACATGGAATTCACCAGTTTTAAAATCTCCCCACTGCCCAGCCTCATCCCATGTCCAACCATTCCCCTCATCCCTGCCTCCTTGACCTGACACAACCTGTCCATCTTCTCTCCCACCTATCCGCTCCTCCCACCTCACTGACCAATCCCCACCACTCCCTACCTGCACTCACCTATCACCATCCCACCTACCTTCCCCAGCCCCACCCCTCCTCTCTCTATTTATTTCCCAGCTCCCTTCCCCCTCTCCATTTCTGAAGACGGGTCCTGACCCAAAATGTTAACTTTCCTGCTCCTTTGATGCTGCCTGGCCTGCTGTGTTCCTCCAGCTCCGCACTGTGTTGTCTCTTGTAGTTGTTAATGGAGACTGTTAGTGGCTAACAATGGCAGTCTATGTGATAACAAGGCATGGTATGCGGAGTAGGGGGCTAGGACATGGGAGAGTTTAGGCCCTAAAATTATTGAAGTTGATATTGAGTCTGGAGGGCTACAGGGTCCCCAAGAGATGCATTTGTCAGTGTATTGGATGGTGTGGCTCAGTGGTTAGCACTGCTGCCTCATAGCACCAGGGACCTTGGATGACTGTCTGTGTGGAGTTTGCACAATCTCCCTGTGTCTGTGTGGGTGTCCTCTGGGTGCTCCGGTTTCATCCCACAGTCCAAACATATGCAGGTTAGGTGGATTGGTCACACTAAATTACCCATAGTGCCCAGGGATGTGCAGGCTGTTGGGGTTAGCCATACTAAAAACCCCATGTAGGTTAGGTGGATGGGGTGAAGTTGGAGGTGGAATGCACTTCAGAGGGTCTGTGCAGATTCAATGGGCTGAATGGCTTCTTTCTGCACTGTGGAAATTCTATGAATTGGATAGGAATTGTATGCAGAGACATGGGCAAAAGGCTATATTAGAACTGGTGCTCCCATGATGGGCTGAATGACTTCTTTCTTCAGTGATTGTGTGACTATTAACTGTGCTGTTAAATGGCCAGCTCAACTGTACGCGAAGTTCAGACCACCTCCTTAGAATAACCCAGGAGTGGTCATGTATATCAGATGTCCCCCAACCCCACCCCAGGTATGAAATTAAAGGCTGAACATTTGTTATCGGGGTATATCCCACAGCCTCTTTAACGCTCTTCTCTCCGGCTATCATTTCCCTTTAAGAGCTCACTTTGTCCCGTTCCTTCCCGGTTTGTCTGTAACATACTCTGTCAATGAGGGGAGCCTACACGATACTTCCACACTGTTGACTTCAGGAGGGTGCCGTTTCCCTGAAGGCTAAATTTAACCTGAATTATAGCCCACAGCCAGGAGCTGACCCTGAGGGGGTTTAATCTCCCTTCCTTTTCTGATAAACTGCCCTATGTAATCGACTCCTCTGTGGGACACTCCATTGGGTGTGATTCCTGTGAACCAATTAAAAAGTGCAGCGCTGTGGTTAGATGTCGGAGAGAACAGCTTGGAGCTGATTTTAGGGAGAGGCACTTACTTCTCAGCGGTTTGTGTGTCCTTACAAGTGAGGGGCCCAGAGGTGGGTACATCGGTCTAAACTATCTGCACTCCCCCCACCCCAGACCAGACTCAATCGTACGGGCTACAAAGTGGAAAGTTGTCTTTGTGAGAAAGTTGCAAGGGCGCGTTCGTGCTGTGAGTTCCTCACCTCCCCATCTCCTGACGTGTCCTGTTTTTTTAAATCCCTCAGACTCTGGACTTAGTTCAAGGTCCGCTCTTGATACTGACTGCTGCCAACAACATCCCGACAGCCCTAAACACACGCACACACCAGGAGTGTCAGTGGACTTTCTGGAATCAATCATGAATTTTCTCCTCCCACTGTTTAAATTCCCCCGCTTCAGTTTATGCCACGGGGCACGCACTGAGGCTTTTCCTCGCCCCCGGCTCCGATGCTCCATTTCTCTGCCTGCCCTCGTCGGCTCCCTGGGCTGCTCACTCCGGGGAGAAGCCCTCTGCTTAGCTCTCTCTTCCGTCTCCACAGGGACCTGTCCGCTCACAACTGCATCCAGGACAGCATGGCCACTGAAGAGCTGAACGGAGTGGCCCGTGGCCCCAACAAGGTGCTCACTCTCGACACCATGAACCAACAGATCAAGAAGGTGGAATATGCAGTGAGGGGCCCTATTGTCCTCCGGGCCATGGAGATCGAAAAGGAGCTGCAACAGGTGGGACCCCTTCTGTCTCCCCTTCAACTCTTTCCCCAGCTTTCCATGTACGCTGTACAAAACTCTGGTGCGGCCGCACTTGGAGTATTGCGTACAG